GTCCTCAATGGCTGGAATGACGCCGATCACCAGCTGGCGGACTTCTGGGACGATGACGACTTCCACCGCAGCGACAGACTGGGCCGCTACAGGCAGCTTCGATCGCGGAACCTGTGGAGTGACAACCAGGCCGTTACAGTTATTTTAGATAACATTAGTTATAAGGTAAGTTGCCTTGAAGACTGCACACCCTTATTCAATTCATCTACATGTGTAAGATATAAATCATTCTTACGTTTCATGGACGACTGAGAAACTTTGGTTATGAATATTAATACACTTGGAGAGGAAGGAAGACGGTTCGAAGTCCAGCAAGCGGTTCCTTCGTCGGTTCATTGTTCCTGGAGACATTGAGCTCGAGGCTGTCATTTCAGTCATGTCTTCTGACGGAGTGCTTAAAATTTTAGCTCCGAAGAGGGTAGGTTATACTTACTTATGTATGTGTGTGTTCACATGCACATACACGCATGCGCGTGCATGCAAATATATATGAATATATATACATACAGTATATGTACATGCCTGTATATATTTACATATATGAATATATGTACACACATACACATACACACACACATATGTGTATATATATATGAATTAATATATATACAGATATATATGTCATATAGAGATGGGTAGTGCTGTTTATGTTTTCATGTATGGGAGGAAAAAAAACTGATAGTGAAGAGCAGTGCAAACACAAGAGAAAGATATGAAAATCGCAAGTGTATCTTTATGTGCATAATATACATACAATACATGCCAAAAGTTGTCATACATGCAAAGGCGTGATTGTTAAATACATAATATAAATATTCCTAAATCTCACATACCTTCCTTGTTCCACAGCTTGGCCACAACCGAAAACACGTTTCGACTGACATGGACGATGGTGATGCAATGTTTTCAAGGAAATTCACAAGTGGGCATCGTCTCACCGATAACTTTTTGGGGAACAGAGATTCATCTTCGGATGACGAGGATTTTAGGACATTTGCCAGGCAAATCAATGATCGCTACCAAGTCACTTTCCAAGATAACGACGAAGAATTTGAAAATGGACATTTGCTCAACAAGGAGACAAAGATGAAAACTGACAAGGACTTTAAATATGACATTCCAAGCTTTTCAACGGAAACCAGGGTTTTATACGTGGACAGAAGGGGTGTATTCACTGAAGACTATTTCTTCGCGAATGTTCGTGACAGCTTCAGCCAAGCAGTGAGAGAAGTGCTGGAAAAGGCCTAATGAATGGACCTGTCGAAGTGACGCCATGCACAACTACAGACGTCTGCGTCAGCGCAACCTCAAGTTGGAAACTCAGGCTGTTGGCATCATTGACGATCAAGACTCACACAAGGTGGGTGTAAAACTGCTTTTTCACGTAAACCAATTTCATATCACATTTTAAATGATTATTTCTGGGAAGAGTGAATAGGTAGTTTCGTAATCAAATGTTTTTTTCCTTTTCAGATTGTGATGGACGTTTTTGATTTCATTAAGGGCGACGTGACAGTGCAGTTGGTGAAGGGCAAGGAACTGCTGGTCGAGGGTCAAGCAGAGAAGCAGGACGGAAGCAGAGTGTCCCGAGTGAGCTTCGAGCGTCGCTTTGCGTTGCCTGAGCTCGTCGACCGAGACGCCATCAGCTGCGTGTTGTCCTCGGACGGAATCCTGACAATCATCTCCAAGAAGAGAGCATGCGAGTACAGGACTAGTGCAAGGGGACTTTCCAGTGAGAGGAAGTCCTACGGTGACAGGGCTGGCAGGTGGGAGGACAAGAAAGTGAAGGACTCCCTCGCGGATCTGGAAGGCCCCAGCTCTCGGAGCTTCAGCACTGGCTCTCGCTCCCGCTACCATCGCTCCTATGCGAAGCAATATTAGAGTAAAAGTCCTTATATATATTTATAACTGCATATTTACAAAAAAAGAAGTAATTCTTGTGCTCCATAAGTGATTATTTTTGTGATATATACACATTAATTTTACTGCTGAGGAGTGCCTTTATATGTGCATTCTATCCTACATATCTACAAGTTTACATGTTTTGTATTTTTAAATCACATTCCTTGCCATAAATACCGTCATACTTTATTTTGAAGAAAAAAGTGTATTTGTATATGTAAATAAAATAACTTCCTATATCTATAACTGCACTGATCCTATTTTCAGATAGGCATTATCTTGTTATAAGTTTTATATCAACTAGAATTCAGAGTCCAAAAGATCATGAAAAAATACGTACATAAAACAAAACAAAAATGTAGCCCTTGAGAGACAAACACAATTTATGGGGGACAAAATATCCCTCACCCAGCCACTTGACGCCTCTGGCAACAACAAATGTTTATCATTATTACTTTTATCCCCAAAGAAAAAAGACACACTGATGCCCACATAGACTATTAGATGCACGCACACAGGTGTTCAAATGCACTCATTTGCACACCGATGCTGAGAGGCACAAACGCGTGAATACACGACCCAGTAATTACACTAACACGCTTCATATCAAACTCCGTAGAGTTAGAGATGTTGGTTTGGTAGCGTGTTACCCAACTACAGGTGATGTAAAAGTGATCTCGTGGTCAAAATAAAAAGAACAATAAAATAATATCACTGGCTAATTCAAAAGGCGACATAAAAAGAGCATCCATATTATATGTTCATTTCGCACAGATCTTTCGAACACAACCAATATACAAGACAACACACCATACACACCATGCCCCAGCACGAGACACCAGCCAACACAAGATAAAAGCTCCTCTCTCTCCCTCCCAACCTAGCTTGATCTTTTATACTGGTGGCTTCCCGCGCTTGGTGCTGTTTTACCCGTAACACAGTCTATTTCATTTATTTAATAGAGTGTGATAAGTTTAGAATAAGCTTGAAAATACATAAAATAAAAGGAATAATAAAATTATACAAACAATAAGTGGCAGGAAAGTACGAAAAAGTGAACGGGATCCTTGGGGGAAAGACGAGAAAAACGAAGAGAAAAAAACGAAAAAAAATGAGTTAGAGGGATATATATACACATATATATATGTGTATGTATGAATGTATGTGCATATATATATGCATAAGATATATGCATAACAATGATAACGATAACAATAATAATGATGGTAATAATAATAATGATGATGGTGATAATGGTATTCATCATTATAATGATAATAATGATAATGATGATAATAATAAGAATAAGAATAAGAATAAGAAAAACAATAATAAAATTGATACTGAGAATGGTGACGATGATGATGATAAAAATAACATTAATAATAATGATTATAATACTGATAATGATAATCATGATAATCATGACAGTAATGATAATAACCATAAGTAACCAAATTCCACCGTGTGCCCATAGAGAGTGTATGTAAAGAGTTTTTATTCATGTATATATATATATATATATATATATATATGTGTGTGTGTGTGTGTGTTGTGTGCGTGTGTGTGGGTGTTGTATGTGAGTTTTTGTATATGTATATATGAATACATATGGATATACAGGTATATATATATAGATAGATATTTGTGTGAGTATGTGTATGTTTTTACATATCTTAATATACATATGCTTGTGTGTTGTGTGTCTGTATTTGCGCGTGTGTTGTGTGTGCGTTTTTTTCCATATATACAGATGTATATATGGATATACATCTGTTTATCTATCTATCTATCTATCTACATATGTGTGTGTGTGTATATATATTGATAGACAGATATATTTGCGTGTGCTTGTGTGTGTTTACATACTTTTATATATATGTATACACACACACATACATATATGTGTGTGTGCGTGCACGCGTACATGAATGTATGTCATCGATTCCAGGTAAAAGGTTCCTTAGTTAAAGTTAAAAATAATCTTATTCGAAAAAGAGTGTTGCAAATCTTCCCGAAATATCCTCCGACGCATTGAACAGTGTTGTAATGCAATACTACTTCAGTCGTACTGATACTGGACCTCAGATGTTTACTCACGTCTCTGGACTTTGGCAGCCACGCAAAAGTTATTCGTGCCAAGTGACGCCGCTGCCACGTCACACGCTAGCACTCGCCAGAGACAGTATATATGTTTAGTGTCCTCCTAGGAATCTTCAGTTCACAAGCGCACGTGCACCTGCAACGATCTCCTCTCAAGTCATAGCACAAGTGTATATATATTCCTATTTTGAAAATGGCACCCATTCAGATGGAAAAGTCCTACGTGAAAGTGTCCTCCACACCCGCTGCAAAGTGCTCTCGGCAGGCAAGGTCAAGCAGCAGGTCATGGGATGTGATCCTTCCTATCAGTCGCAGAGGAAGCTTCTTCCAAGACTCGTTTTTCTCTGACATACACAAGGATTTTGACTCCTCCGTCAGGGAGGTGTTGGCCAGATGGAGTGACGAAGACCTGAAAGTGAAAGACTTCCGCCGGGATGATATTATGAACCGTTACAGACAGCTTCGATCTCGTAACCTAAATGAAGGGAACCAGGCTGTCACAGTCACATCTGACAACACAAGTCATAAGGTGAGTCGGTATAACGATCGCTGTTTCCAATTAGTCACTGGACGAGACACGGTTAAATAGTGTTTAAAATCGGAGAATGCGTCTACATATAGCTAAAGTTATAACACTTAAATTCTATCTCCCAGATTGTGCTGGACGTGCATGACTTCATGTGTGGAGATGTGAGAGTGAAAGTGTTGGACGAGGAGGAGTTGTTAGTGGAAGGACACGTGGAGAAGAAGGAGGAAGGAAGCTCATCCGTCTCGTCACACTCCTTCAGACGCTACTTCTCTTTGCCTCAACACACAGACATGACAGCGATTACGTCCGTCATGTCTGCAGATGGTATCCTCACAGTCACTGCGCCAAAAATAGTGAGTCAATTATTTTCTTGTAAACAGTGAGTATATAAACAAAGGAATGCTGTATGAGTAAAGAAGAACGCAACATTATATTGATATTAATAATAAATCTTATTTTGTCTCACAGAAAACAGAAATGACAAAGGAAAATGCAATCAGTCAAACTTCCGCTTCGAATCATGAGAAAGTCGGCGAAACACGAAAACAAACAGCATCTGAACACTTGTCTTCTACACGAAAAGAAAGCTGTTCGTGTGATCTTGGTTTCAAAAGAACAGCTGATTCCTCTGGGTTTGACTGCGGTTCGTGGGACACATTCTTGCCCATCACTCGAAAGGGAGGCTTCTTCCAGGACTCCTTCTTCTCCGGTACACATCGCGACTTCGATGCCTCCATCAGGAAGGTCCTCAATGGCTGGAATGACGCCGATCACCAGCTGGCGGACTTCTGGGACGATGACGACTTCCACCGCAGCGACAGACTGGGCCGCTACAGACAGCTTCGATCGCGGAACCTGTGGAGTGACAACCAGGCCGTTACAGTTACTTCAGATAACATTAATTATAAGGTAAGTTGCTTGAAGACTGCACACTCTTATTCAATTCATCTACATGTGTAAGATATAAATCATTCTTACGTTTCATGGACGACTGAGAAACTTTGGTTATGAATATTAATACACTTGGAGAGGAAGGAAGACGGTTCGAAGTCCAGCAAGCGGTTCCTTCGTCGGTTCATTGTTCCTGGAGACAGTTGAGCTCGAGGCTGTCATTTCAGTCATGTCTTCTGACGGAGTGCTTAAAATCTTAGCTCCGAAGAGGGTAGGTTATACTTATGTATGTGTGTGTTCACATGCACATACACACATGCGCGTGCATGCAAATACATATGAATATATATACATACAGTATATGTACATGCCTGTATATATTTACATATATGAATATATGTACACACATACATACACATACACACACATATGTGTATATATATATGAATTAATATATATACAGATATATATGTATATAGAGATGGGTAGTGCTGTTTATGTTTTCATGTATGGGAGGAAAAAAAAACTGATAGTGAAGAGCAGTGCAAACATAAGAGAAAGATATGAAAAATCGCAAGTGGTATCTTTATGTGCATAATATACAATACATGCCAAAAGTTGTCATACATGCAAAGGCGTGATTGTTAAATACATAATATAAATATTCCTAAATTTCACATACCTTCCTTGTTCCACAGCTTGGCCACAACCGAAAACATGTTTCGACTGACATGACGATGGCGATGCAATGTTTTCAAAGGAAATTCACAAGTGGGCATCGGCTCGACCGATAACCTTTTTGGGAAGAGAGATTCATCTTCGGATGACGAGGATTTTAGGACATTTGCCAGCAAATCAATGATCGCTACCAAGTCGCTTTCCAAGAACGACGAAGACTTTGAAGTGGACATTTTGCTCACAAGGAGACAAGATAAGGAGGTACTGACAAGGGTTTTAAATATGAGATTCAAGCTTTTCAACGGAAACCAGGGTTTTTATACGTGGACAGAAGGGGTGTATTCACTGAAGACTATTTTTTCTTCGCGAATGTTCGTGACAGCTTCAGCAAGCAGTGAGAGAAACGGCTGGAAAAGACTAATGAATGGACCTGTCGAAGTTGACGCCATGCACACTACAGACAGTCTGCGTCAGCACCGGGGGGGGGGGGGGCAACCTCAGTTGGAAACTCAGGCTGCTGGCATCATTGACGATCAAGACTCACACAAGGTGGGTGTAAAACTGCTTTTTTCACGTAAACCAATTTCATATCACTTTTTAAAATGATTATTTCTGGAAAGTGAATAGGTAGTTTCGTAATCAAATGTTTTTTTTCCTTTTCAGATTGTGATGGACGGTTTTTGATTTCATTAAGGGCGACGTGACAGTGCAGCTGGTGAAGGGCAAGGAACTGCTGGTCTAGGGGTCAAGCGAGAAGCAGGACGAAGCAGAGTTGTCCCGAGTGAGCTTCGAGGGGGGGGGGGGGGGGGGGGGCGGGGGGGGGGGGGGGCGTCGCTTTGCGTTGCCTAGCTCGTCGACCGACGCTCATCAGCTGCGTGTTTTGTCCCGGAACGGAATCCTGACCATCTCTCCAAGAGAGAGCATGCGAGTACAGACTGTGCAGGGGACTTTTCCAGTGAGAGGAATTCCTACTACGGTGACAGGGCTGGCAGGTGGAGGACAAGAAAGTGAAGGAGTTCCCCTCGCGGATTGAAGGCC